TCATGTAGGGCAAGAGCCCATACACTGGCCCTGCAAGGATCCTGGGAGACAGGAAGCTTTTTCTATCCCCTTGGGTCCTCCCTTCCAGTAGCTGTTTGCCTTTCAATAGGAAGATCCCTAAAATGGGCCTACACTAACAGTCCTGTTGGGCTATCTTGCCTCAGGTATTTACAGACAGCCTCTTCTGTTCCCCAAAGCTGAACTTGGAGAAGAGGCCTTATTACAATAGGACCTCCACATTTGTAGCCTTAGCACCTTTGGAATTCCTAAAACAGCAGCAGCTTTTGTTATTCATACAGAGCCCTTCCAGTTCTGAAGAGGTAATTTAGGTGGATCTCACAGAGCCTTAAAATATGGCAGGTCAGGGGGCCTGCCCCTTAGCTCAGTTCTTTAAGTGGCTGCTTCAACAAAGCAGTCAGGCTCAGGTTGCTGTGGTTCGATCCCCACAACACAAGACAGCCAGTCATGCCTTGAAGGCATTCGGCGCAAAAAAACAAAAACAAAAACAAAAAACACTTCTGCCATTAAAAAAAAAAAAAAAAAAAGGCAGGTCACCAGAAGGACCCAAGATGACAGGGTTGAGATTTTGACCCCCAGGAGGGACCAAGGAGACAGGGAAGGTAGATAGCTTGCCCTAAGTATTCATCTGCTTGGTCACCTGCTTTCTTTATGATGTTATTTGTAATAAATGGGTAAATATAAAGGGTCCTCTGAATATGAGCTCATCTAGCAAACTACCAAACCCAAGGAAGATAGTATGCAAAGCCTGGTTGGCAGTGGGTTGGTTAGAAATGTAGGGGAAAGCTGGGCATAGTGGCACATGTCTGTAATCTCAGCACTCAGAAGGATGCGACAGGAGGATCTTTGCGAGTTCTAGACCAGCCTGGGCTACAAAGTGAGGGGTTTTTGTGGCGGAACTGGGGATTGAACTCAAGCCCCTGCGCTTGCCAGGAAAGTGCTTATTCTACTGAGCCATCTCCCCAGCCCCTACAAAGTGAGTTTTAAAAACTATGGAGCGAGACCCTGTCTCAGACAAAAAAGGGTAAAGTGCGATAACTGAGTGGATTAAAGCACCTGCTTAGCCAAGCACAGAGACTGTGGTTCCGCCCCCAGGGTAGGTTGAGCCAGCCAGAGTCCAGGTGTACACCTGTAATCTCTGCGCTCGGGAGGCTAAAAATAGGAGGATCACTATGAGTCTGAGCAGCGTAGTGAAACCCTGTAACAATCAAATACATTTAAATAAATAAATAAAGACAAAAAACAAAAATAAAAAGGTGGGGGGTGAGGGAGCTGGGCACAAGGCCATAGATTTATAGTCCTACCTACTTAGGAGGCAGAATAGAGAGGATGGCTTGAGCCCAGAATTGGATACCAGGTTGGACCACAAGAATGATGTGACTCAACTACAACATCAGCTTCAATGAGGTAGGATGAGGTCATCCTAGCCCACAAGTTATCTGTACAATTTTACATACAATGTCTGGCACCTATTCAAAACAAAGCAAGTATCCATGGACACAAACCCAAATGGCCAGAATATAAAAGACACAAAAACACACTAAAATATATAAGTTATTAGATATAAGCTTTAACTATGTTTACAGCCAGGGAGATGGCTCAGTTGAATAAGCACTTGCCTGGCAAGCTCAAGGGCCTGAATTCAATCCCCAGTTCTGCCAAAAAAAAAAAAAAAAAAAAAGAAAGAAAGAGCAAGTCAGCCAGCCAGTTTTGGAGCCAGGAAGATAGCTCAGTAGAATAAGTTCTTGCCTGGCAAGCACAAGATCCTGAGTTCAATCCCTAGTACTCCAAAAACAAAACAAAACTATGTTTCCAGTATTTAATTTAACAAAGCATATAATCGACAACACTGAGAACCAGAAACTTGTTTTTGGTATGGTGGGGGGAATATCAGGGATGTAAATCAGGACCTTATGCCTGCCAGATAGGCACTTACGTCCCTGAGCTAGCTCCCTGGCCCAGAACCAGAAACTATTAAATAATAATAATGGCATTCTAGAATTTAATGACTTTTTTTTTTTTTTTTTTTTTTTTTTTTTGTACTGGGGATTAAATTTGGGATCTTGCACTTGCCAGGCAGGCACTCATGACACTATATCCCCAGCCCTCAATGACAAAATTTGCAATTTTTTTTTTCAATGGTTTTTAACAGCAAATTAGACCAGCAGAAGAGAAAATCAATGTAAGGGATAAGAAGATGAGAAAAATTAGGGCCGGGGAGATAGCTTAGTGGCATAAGCATCTGCCTGGCAAGTGCAAGGTCCTGAGCTCAATCCCCAGAATTTAAGATAGCTCAGTAGAATAAGTGCTTGCCTGGCAAGCACAAGGGCCTGAGTTCAATCCCTGGTTCTGAAAAAAAAAAAAAAAAAAAAAGAGAAAATGCAGAGTTAAGTCAGAAGAGATAAGGATAGCAAGGAGATAAGGGAACAATAGCTGGAAGGGGTGATCAGCTACCAAAGGTTCCACCTACCTTTACCTGAGTTAGTTTCTCTTCAGGCTCATCACACCCAAATCCCTAGTAGGTTGGTCCCAACTCATAATCTCAAAATTGCCTGGGCTACACAGTGAAATCAAGATCAGCCTGAACTACAAATGAGACCCTGTCTCAAAGAAAAAGATATAGTTAAGAAGATTAACTTGAATAGAGAGGGGGAAACAATGCAAAAATAAGGGAAGCAAGAGACCTAGCAGGAATCTGCTGGAGGAATTCAGATGGGAATTGGCGATAAAACTAGACAGATGACACAATCAAAGAGGAGGGGCACAGCAGGCTGAGGCAGGAGGATGGATTGCTGAGGTCAGAGGCCAGCCTGGGCTACACAGTGAGTTTAAGCAGGGCCTGAACTACACAGCAAAAAACCAAAACCAAATAAAGAAGAGTAAATATTTTCAGCAAAACTACTATATAATTTAGCAAGAGTATATAAAAATAACCTCAGAGCAAGTATGGTGGCCTAACAACATAGCTAGGATTACAGGCATGTGCCATGAGCCCAGCAGGCATGCTTAATTAACAAGAAACAACTTAAAAATAATACATAGAATAACTAAAGCTAAGATTAGGTCTCTTGATAATGTCAAGGGCAATAGATGGTGAAGAGAAATAGAAGCTGGGGAGATAGCTTAGCAGTCTAAATGCCTGCCTGGCTGGGTTCGATCCCTGGTACTGCATGCCATGCCAACCCTGGAAGCTGGGTGTGCAATGCCAGTGAGACCCTGTACCAAACAAATAAATGATAAAAAAAAAAGAGGAATATCCTTGAGCCTATATGTAAAACATGGTATCTAATCTCAGTATCTGACATAGCTGGGGTAATGAAATGGAGGTGAGGGGGACACCTCACAGGTGGCACAATACTGCAATCCCAGCCCTGGAGATGGAGGCAGAAGGATCACAAGATCAAGGTCATGGCCAACCTGCATTACATAGGAAGACCCTGTCTCAGGAAAAATAAATAAAAAACTTGAGGTTGGGGATATAGCTGAGCAGTTTTGTTGAGTTAGGGATCCATTCCAAAACAATTGGTAAGACTTATGAGATTTTAAAAAAAAAAAAAGATGGAGATTTGACAACAAAAAAATTCATTATTTACCCAGAACCACAATATACACACGTTATAAAACCTAATAATCATAAAACATGTAAAAACCTGGAACTTAAAAGAAAGGGTCTAAACTAGGCAATGGTGGGTCAAGTGTGGTGGCACACACCTAAAACTCCAGCACTCAGGAGGCTGAGACAAGAGAATTATAAATTTGGGACCAGCCCGGGTAGTTCCATGACTTTGTCAGACCTTGTCTCAAAAAACAAGTCAACGAGGACCAGCCAAGTAGCTCAGCGGATTAAAGCGCCTGCTTAGGCAGACGCAGAGTGGGGTTCAATCCCTGGCCTATGTGCCGGTCGTGCCCCCAGAGCACTGTGAGACTGCAATTGAGACTGGGCGTGGTGGCATGCGCCTATAATCCCAGCTCTTGGAGGTTGAACACAGGTGGATCACTACGAGTCCAATCTATGCAGGGAGACTGTAAACCCTTACTAAAACAGAAAAGAAATAAGTAAACCAGAAGGCTGGCGAGATAGTTCAGCAGACTAAATGTCTGCTTAGGCAAGAGCAGAGACCAGGGTTCAATCCTGACACCCCCATGCCCTGCCAGCTCAGTGGGCCAGGGAAGGGGGGTATGCTGAGCTGGCCACTGAGACCTGGACTGGTGGCACAGGTCTGTAATCAAAGTGCTGGAGGGAGCTGAAAACAGATGGATCACTACAAGTCTGAGTAGTGAGACCGTGTACCAAATACATTAAAAAAATTTTTAAAAGTCAGCCCAGTTTAGTGCACACAACCGTAATCCTAGAACTTGGCTCCCTGAGGGCAAGAGAATCTCCCATGAGTTCAAGGCCAGTCTTAAACGACATAGAGAGAACTTGTTTCAAAATTAATAGATAGGGGCCAGGGAGATAGCTCAGTAGAATATTACGTGCTTGCCTGGCAAGCGCAAGGGCCTAAGTTCAATCCTTGGTTCCACAAAAAAAATAAAATAAATCAATAATAGATATAGCAAGGCATGGTGGCACACACCAGAAGCTGAGACAGGAGAATCCTTGCGACCAGCCTTGGCTACAAAGTGAGCTCATGGCCTTCCAGAACTGCATAGTGAGAGCCTGCATCAGAAAGATAAATTAACTAAAAAGAAATATGATATAAGCAAACAAAAATAAAAAGTAAAAAGATAGTAAGATCTAGCTCTGTGCAAAGTCCCGGGGTTCAATCCCCAGTGCCAAAGAAATAGGAGTGAGAAAGAGATCTGTTGCTTCTTACTTTCATGCACCTCCCAGGGAAGTTGTCAAAAGAAGCGCCACCATTTTAGAAATAGAGGAGGTAGACACAGTAAAAGCAAAATGCTAGTGAACTGATCAGACTAACTGCCTGGGAGTAAAACGGAGATGTGTTAATGATGGCCCAAAAAGGTGCTCAGGCACTTACCCAGGGATTTACCAATGAGAACGGATCGCAGGTTTCCACAGGTCGTTATAGCCGTGAACCTTGGGTCCCTTTTTCACTAGTCAACAGTCACCCTCACCTATACGCGGAGTACATATTTGGCACTCAACAAATCTTGACTGGATGAAAATCAATCTCATAATTGGTACCCAACCTCGGACAGAGGGCCCCATAAACTACCTTCATAAACCCTCACTACCTAGCTCACAGAGCTGAGAATGTCGATAGGAATGCTCTGGGGGGTCCGTGTCGACTGGTGACAAGTCACTCATTGGGGCCTGCACCAACCCGATTTCTCAAAGAAGATGAGGGTTCAAGGGACTGAACCCCAACTAGCCAGCTTTGACTTTTACAAGGAGCTAGTCAATGGGTCGCGGAGCCACAGCCTCCCGCCCGGGGGCGCTACGAGCTCCGGAGGTATCCCTCCTTCCCCAAAAAGTTAGTACCTGCGAAGCTGCGGCACACAGAGGTGAGGGGCTCTCATTACGGAGGCCGGGACCCGGCGCCTGCTGGGTGAGGTTCTGCGTCCCGGGACTGCAGGGACAGTGGGTCAGACAGACACCTCACGCTTCAGGAGGCTCCTGACTCACAGATTCCAGGCGTCTCACTCCTAGGACTGAGCAAGCTGTAGCACTCACGTCGGCTTTTCTTCGGGGCTCCTCTCCTCCATCAAGCGATCACGCCTGCCTCATCCCAGGAGCCAGTCCCTTCCCGGCGCCGCCATCGTTACTGTTTGTTTTCATTCGCTTGGGTGCAGGCTGTGGTGATGCTGGAGGTTATAGGGGAAATCCAGCTACCTAACTTTAACTACCCTTTCGCTACACAATAAACGTCCTATTTACTCCCTTGGATCCTCAAAATACCCATCAAATTTTATCTATTTCCATATAAATATTCTTGTATAATTTTTCAAGCCCTTCAGGAAAAAGTAAAGGGGGAGGCCAGGGGAAAATTTGAGAAAGTTGGTCCTTAGGACTTTCTATGGAATGTGCGGCTACGAAGCGCAGGCTGCAGCGGCAGCGGCGGGTGAGGACGCGGCGATGGGCGAGGAGGGGCGCTGACGCGCGGGGGCGGGGCCGCGCCTGCGCGCCGTGACGGCCCGGGCCGGGCCTCGGGTTCCGGAGGAGGGCCGGTTGGCCGGGCGGGCTGGGTGGGTGGAGTGTGGGACAGTATCCTGGCAGCCGCGGAGAGGTGGGTATGCACAGCCTTGCTGATGTGGAGCGGCCTTCTCAGTCACACTTCCGTTTCCGTTTTTAAGGTGTGCTGTAAATGGGGCAGCGTTACTCCCAAACCTGGCTCTCAACCTCTTCCTTTGCTCCTTTCTTTCAAATTGACTGATCTTCCTTACTTTCTAGCCCGCAGCCTCAAAAGTTGAAATTCTTAGCCAGGCGTGGTGGTGCAGGCCTGCAGTACCAGCCCTCGGGAGGCTGAGGCAAGAGGACTGCCACAATTTCGAGGCCAGCCCGGGCTGCGCAAGCGAGACCCTGTCTCAGAGATCTTTAAAAAATTTATTGGGGTGCAGAGAAAGCCTGTGATTAATAACATGCAACCCCCCCCAAGTTGGTTTGTAGGCTACCCTCTTCCTTTTTAGGCTAGCTTGTGTACCTCCACACCTGTCCCGCACTAAGCAGGTAGAGCCATGAGGCTCTGGTTAACAAACCTGTGACTGACTAATCCTTACCCAACGTAGTTGTATGTGTCAGCTGTTTCGTGGCATGTCTAATTAGGAGCAGAAATCTTTTACCTTGTGAATAATTATGCATCTCCTACATTAATTAATATTTTGCCTTTGTGCTTCAAACCAGACCAAATGTTGCAGCAGTTTGGCAGAATCAAAATTTAATTCTTTTTATTTTATTTTATTTTATCTATTTGGTACAGGGTTTCACTGCGCAGCTCAGATTCGTAGTGATCCTCCAGTTTTCAGCCTCCCCAGCACTGGGATTACAGGCGTGCACTACCACGCCTGACTGCCGGACTCACCCTTATCGGTCTCAGACTCAGCTGGGGCAGGGCCAGTATGGCATGCAGGATCGGGGATCAAACCATGTTCCCTGTGCTTGCCAAAGCAGGCACTTAGTCTGCTGAGCTATCTCGCCGGCCCTTAATTCTTTTTTTTTTTTTTAATTTTTTTTCTTTTTTTTTTTTTTTTTTAATTTTATTTATTTGTGTGTGTGTGGCCAGCTCAGCCCACCAGGGGGCGGGGCTGGCTGGCATGTGGTGCTGGGGATTGAACCGCGGTCCCCGGGCTTTGCTAAGCTTGCTCCAAGTAGGTGCTCCAGACCACTGAGCCATCTCACCAGCCCCCCTTAATTCTTTATAATTCATGTACTCATAATTTCAGTATCACTGATGTCCTATAGTTTTAGCTGTTGAGAAAAACCCAAGTTGCATAAACAGCTCCTTTTACCTGTTCAAAGTAGAGTTGCTCAAAAGGTGTTATTGTAGCCTTTGAGTCACTTTCATGTCGTTGGTACGTTTCTAAATTTTATTTCTTTCAACCTTTACAGAGGGAAGATTATGAATGTCAGAGGTGTTTAGCTTACAGCTGGCTGATGAGTTCTGCTGACCCTTAAATACCTTCTCGCACCAAGGTCTTCATTGAGAAGCATTCAGAAAAAGCAGATAGGCGAGGCAGCATTCACGTTTGCTATGGCCATCCCCATAACAGTGCTTGACTGTGATCTCTTGCTGTACGGCCGGGGTCACCGGACCTTAGACCGTTTTAAGTTGGACGATGTGACTGATGAAGATTTGATGTCCATGTATGGCTTTCCTCGGCAGTTCATTTATTATCTGGTGGAACTCTTGGGGCCAAGTCTTTCTCGACCTACTCAGCGATCTAGGGCCATCAGCCCAGAGACACAGATCCTTGCAGCCCTGGGCTTTTATACCTCAGGCTCCTTCCAGACCCGAATGGGAGATGCTATTGGAATCAGCCAGGCCTCTATGAGTCGGTGTGTTGCTAATGTTACTGAAGTGCTTATGGAAAGAGCCTCCCAGTTCATTCACTTTCCAGCTGATGAAGCCTCTATGCAGGCTCTGAAGGATGAATTCTATGGGCTGGCGGGGATGCCGGGGGTGATAGGGGTGGTTGACTGTATCCACGTGGCAATCAAGGCGCCAAATGCTGAAGACCTCTCCTATGTGAACCGCAAAGGTCTGCATTCTCTCAACTGCCTGATGGTGTGTGACATCAGAGGGGCATTTATGACCGTGGAGACAAACTGGCCTGGCAGCCTGCAGGACTGTGCTGTGCTCCAGCAGTCCTCTTTAAGTAGTCAGTTTGAAGCTGGGATGCACAAGGATAGCTGGCTTCTTGGTAAGTTTGCAGGTACAAATCTTCTGTCTGTACCCAGGAAGCAAAGTCAAGAGGACCACTAGAGTTGGAAGAGCCTGTAGCCTACAGAGAGAGACCTTGTTTAAAAAAAAAAAAAAAAAAAAAATTAAAAGCTTTAATTTGAAGCCATAGACAAATTATGTAGTAGAAGTTGGGTGTGGTGGGCATGCTGGGAGGCAGAGTGAGGAAGAATATTGCAAGTTAAAACCCAGCCTGGGTAAGATAGGGTCCTGTCTCGAAATATAGACTGGGTGTGTTGGCCCACACATGTGATTCCAGCAATGAGGAGACTGAGGCAGGAGGATCACTGAGTTTGAGGCCAGCCTAGGCTACAAAGTGAGCTCAAGGCAGATCTGAACTGCATAGTGAGACCCTATCTCACGAAGATACACCCCCCCAAAAAAAAAAAATTACTGGTGGCAGAGGCAGGAGGGTATGACTTCCAGGGCTACACAATATGTTCAAGGCCAGCCTGGACCGCATAGTAAGGCCCTGTTGCCAAAAAACAAGCAAAATGCAACAATTCCATTTTCATTCAAATGACATGAAGAAGTAAAGGATGTGTTCTGCAAGTGACTCACTAGCTATCCAAAGATGTGGGAGTTCTCAGGTTATTCTCTCAATTTTGGCATCCTACTTATAAACCCAGACTAAAAATTATTGAGCCCTTAAAATTTGTCGTTGTGCCTGGTGTGGTGGCACAAACCTGTAATCCCAGTACTCAGGCGGTGGCAATAGGATCACTGTCAGTTTGAGACCACCCTGAGCTACAAAGTGAGTTTAAGGCCAGCCTGAACTGTGTAGTGAAACCCTGTCTCACATACATATATGCATACATGCATATGTACATTCCAGCACATATGTCCTAGGAAGTCTTCCATGCCCACTCAACAGGAAAATTACTTTGAGGACTCCTGGTTAGTAGTACAGGGTTTCATAAATTATCAAGATCAAAAGAATCACCTGGGCTGGGAGTTCCAGCTCAGTGGTAGAAGCTTGTCCACCTGCATGAGACCTTGGAGGAATTGAACTCATAACCTTGTGCTTGCCAGGCAGGCACTGCACTGCTGAGCTATGTGCCCAGTGGAAACACCCACTATCAATGAGAGCCTAACAGTGATTGATGTGATGGGCAAACTGGTCCCTAGAGCTTGTGTGGACAGTGGGATGACTGGAGGAAGACTGGCAGGACCATGAGCGGCGATGAGATATTTCAGTGGGAGAGGAGAGAGGTGAGATGGCTGCTGCATCCTCACACCACCGGATTTCTGGAATAGTTCTGGCTTTGTCCTAGAACCAGCCTCGATCTGCCTTTGGTTCCTTAGTGTGCTTTCACTTGAGAGACATTCTTTCGTATCCCTCCTGGGTATTTACCTAATTTCCTTGCTTTTTCTCCCGCAAACAAATTCAGCCTGAATTCTTCAGCTCTTGCCTAGTCCTGTAAGCAGCTTAGTGTGAGATGGTCTGCAGACTTGTCCTGTGGTGCCTGGTCATGGAGGCAGTTGTACACTGTGTGGCAGTTGAGGTTCTGAGCCCCTCCAGAGAGTTTTCCCAGGAGCATTTGAGGAAAGGTCTACATTAAGTAGCTTGTCTTGTATTATCTCCCCCTACTTAAGGCCCGTACCATTTCCTAGACAAACTGTTTTTGAGATAAGATGTCAATTTGTTTTTGTTTTTGTCTTTTTGAGATAGGCTTTTTCTTTGTAGTTCAGGCTGGCCTTGAATTTTGAGATAGGCTTTTTCTTTGTAGTTCAGGCTGGCCTTGAATTTACTGTATGGCTCAGACTGGCCCTGACCTCCCAGTGATCTTCCTGGATGCTGAGATTACAGATGGCCCCACCACTCTGGTTCTCTAGAGAAACCCACAGACCTCATTTAGCATCTCTGTGTTTAGGCATTCATCATAGATGTTTGTCTCTTTATTCCCTTTTACCACATTTCACCATTGTATTCCTGATTCTGATATTATTATGTACTTCCTAACTCCTCCTTTTGCCTGACAGCAAAGGATGGCTGAGGTATTATTTTTATCTCATTTATAAAATCCCAACCTGGCAGTTAGTATTAAATTATAATAGTCTGTAAATCTCCCTACTCTAGAGGTTGAGGCAGGAGGATCACAAGTGCAAGCCTAGACTGCCACATTAACATAATTCACAAATAAAAGGCTGGAGAGGTAGCTCAGTTGTTGGGCACTTGCCTGGCATGCATGAGACCCTGGGTTCAATCCCCAGTCCTACCACCGAAAATAATAAGGCAAATTATATTGGAAAGGAAAAATGTCACTTAAATATAAAATTTGGAATTTTTATGAGAATTCGTAGTTACTCAAATTGATCCATACTTGGAAATGTAGGCTCCTGAAAGAGTAGAGTTCTAGTTGGGTGCAATAGTGCACACCTGTAATCCCAGCATTCATGAGGCTGAGGCAGGAGGACTCCTGTGAATTTGAACCCAGCCTGGGCTACAGAATGAGGCCAGCTTGAACCGCACAGTGAAACCCTGTCTCAAAAAGACAAAACAAGGGCCAGCAAGATAGCTCAGCAGACTAAGCACCTGCTTAGGCAAGTGCAGGGACTGGGGTTTGATCCCTGAAACTACATGCAGTGTTAGCCCCGCCCCTGAGTGTGCTGAGCCAAGGACGGAGTCTAGGCGTGGTGGCTCACACCTGTAATCCCAGCACTGGGGAGGCTGAAAACAGGAGGATCACTATGAGTTCAAGCTGCCTAGTGAGACCCTACACACACACACACACACACACACACACACACACAGACAGACAAAACAGTAAACTAAAAGAAAGGAGTTCTATACTACATATTTTTTAATAGTGCCCAGCACTGCCTGCACAACCAGAACATTTGCTGAAATTGTGGGCATTCTAAACACAGCGATGGTGCCTTTTGCTACTCCAGGGCCCCTTCTAGCACTTTCAATGATAGAAATAGCTTCATGTAGTAAACGCTGTGGATATGCCACCATTGGTCTAAGAGATCATCCTGCCTCAGCCTTCCAAGTAAGTAGGCTACTGGCAGACAATACCATACCAGTAGAACACTGAATTCTGATGGCAGTCACAAATGCTGGAACTTTTATATAATTCTTCTCAGTACCAGAAGGGTAAGTTATTATCATCCCTTGAAATCTCTGGGGAGTATTTGCAGACCTGAAAGTTTAATAGTAGAATTAGACATTATCCTTCTAAATTGCTTTGGGATCTCCTGGTAGAATTCTTTTCTCTTTTGCACTTTGCTTTTTAGAGATTTTGAATTACAACATATTGCTTCACAGACTTTTTGTTTTGGGGGGTTGCTTTTTGAGACAAAGTCTTACTAAGTAGTCTAGGCTGGGGTTGCATTCACTATTTAGCCCGGAAGGGCCAGGGAGATAGCTGAGTGGCGAAAGCATCTGTCTGGCAAACAGAAGGCTCTGGGTGCAATCGCTGGTACCAAAAAAGGGGGAAAACTAGCCCAGGATGACCTTAAGCACACAGCTGTCCTGCCTCAGCTTCCTGAGTGCTGGTACCAAGTTTGAGGAAAGTGTGGTCTGCCCTTCTTGCTTCCTGCATAGTTTCAGACTTGGCTTTCATTGGTACCTGCATTTTTCTTTACATGTGTTGTAAGTGGGCATTCCCAGCTGAGACACGTGTCTTCTGCTTATGATATTACTTTACTTTATGGTTTTGTTTCTGGACAGGGTCTCCCTATGCAGTTCAGGCTGCCCTTGAACTCTCTGCACTGTTCCTGCCTCAGTCTTCTCAGTGCTGGTACTACAGGAGTGCAGCATCACACACAGCTACAATTTTGTGGTTTTCTAGTGTACTTTTTATTTTTATTTTTTCTCATGTGTTTGGTACACAGTCTCACTACACAGCTCAGACTTGTATTGATCCTCCTGTTTTTCAGCCTCTCCAGCACTGGGATTACAGGCGTGTGCCACCAGCCTGGGCTCAGTGGCTAGCTCAGCGCGCCTGGGGGCAGAGCTGGCATGGCATGTGGGATCCCAAACCCTGGTCCCTGTGCTTACCAAAGCAGGCTCTTAGTCCGCTGAGCTATCTTGTCCTCCTCTAGTGTACTTTTAGCTCCTGCTCATCTTATGTTTCCTTTTTCTTTTCTTTTCTTTTCTTTTCTTTTCTTTTCTTTTCTTTTCTTTTCTTTTCTTTTCTTTCATACTGAAGATTGAACTCAGGACCTTGTACTTGCCAGGCAGTGCTTAGTCCACTGAGCTATCTCCCCAGCCCTCTGGTTTTTTGAGACAGGATCTCGCTGTGTACTTTAGGCTGACCTTGCACTTGAGCACAATAGTTCAGGCTGGCCTAAAACAACAATCCTCCTGCCTTAGCTTCCTGAGTACTGAAATTATAGACATCTACCACCATGCCCAGCTGTATATATATGAATTTTACTTTTTTCCTGAACAATGCCAAGCTTTGAACCCAGGGACTCAAGCATGCTGGGCAAACAGTCTACCACTGATCTATACAGACCAAGATACCCAGCCCTCTTTTTTTTTTTTTTTTCCAGTGCCTCTCATTATATACCAGGCTGTCCTTGAATTTAAGATCTTCCTGTTATAAGCTTTCAAGTAGCTGGGATTACAGATAGGCTTTTCCATGCCCATCTGAATTTCATTCCATTTGTAGTCTCCTTATACTCACTTCTAACTTTGGGGCCTTCACAGGTGACAGTGCCTTTTTTCTCCGCACCTGGCTCATGACCCCACTCCCTGACCCCAAAACCCCTGCAGAAGATCGCTATAACCTGGCCCACTCTGCGACCCACAGCGTGATGGAGAAGACTCTGCGGACCCTGTGCTCCCGCTTCCGCTGCCTGGATGGGTCCAAGGGAGCTCTGCAGTACTCGCCAGAGAAGTCTAGCAACATCATTGTGGCCTGCTGTGTCCTGCACAACATCTCCCTGGAGCACGGCATGGACATCTGGTCCTTGCCGATGGCAGGGCCTGTGCAGCAGCCCCTGGAGGAGGAGTACGAACCTATGGAGTCTCTGGACCTAGAAGCTGACCGCAGCCGCCAGGAGCTGTTGCTGTCTCATTTCAGCTGAAGGGGAAACTTTCCAGAAGGGTCTGCCACATACTTTTCTGCACACTCCCGCCTTCATGGCTGTCACCCACATGACCAAGTATGAAAAGCTTGTCACGAATCAAAATTTCAGCTTGCATCTTACAGGGTTGGGCCTGTGCAAGAACCAGGTGGTGGGTTAGGCCTGTAACCTCAGCATTTAGGAGGCTGAGGCAGGAGGATCACTGTATTTGAGACCAGCCTGGGCTACATTGTGAGTTCAAGGCCAGCCTAAATCCCAGCAAGCCCCTGTCCCCCCCCCCCTGCAAAAAAAAAAAAAAAAAAAGATAACTCTTTGCAAGTAGGTTAATTAAGTCAAAGCCAACATGGTGGTCTCTGCTACCTGGTGAACTAGGTCAAGCTTCATTCCTTTGAGAAGTCCCTGGTGGGGCCAGGGATATAGCTCAGCGGTGTGGGGCCTGGCAATTGCAAGGTCCCAAGTTTAATTCCTGAGCCCAAAAACAAACAAGAAAAGTCACTGGTAGTAAACACAATTGGGCCTAAAAGTCATAGGAAAGGGGAAAACAACACTTAGCCAAAATGCTTTTTTGGTTTTGATGATCTGAAAATTAACAAATAAAAAAGAGTATTGTACTGAGTTATCTGGGTGGCATTTTTATTTTTCTGCTTTGCTGACTGTACACAAACATGAAGGGTAAACAGTCTTCTCATGTAAGTAAATGGCTGCTGCTCCAGATTTGCAGCTTCATGTGGTTTTTGGGTTTTGTTTGCATTTATTGAAGATTGAACTTAGGGCCTTCTCACTCAGCTACATTCCCGGCCTTTTTACAATTTTGAGACAAGGTCATGCTAATTGCCAGAGTGCCCAGGTTGGGCTTGAACTTGGGGCCCTTTCTCTTCAGTACTGGGGTTACAGATGTGAGCTTAGATCATATTTTGTGGAGGACCACCTGAGCAGCTCTCCTTGAAAGAAGAGCAGTTGTCTCCATTTTGGCTGAGCCTGACCCAATTTCCTTGTATTGATATGTACAGAGCTGGCTGGGACTTTTCCTTATCCTTTCAGTTGGCTTTAAGCAATGCATATTGGTCTAGCTGAGGTGCTGGCAGTAGATTTTGAAGATGACAAGCCTGTTTCCCTGATAACCCACACCTGCTGCTCTTCAATATGAGCTAGGTTGTCACAAGACAAAGAGTCAATGCTCCACCCTGTCAGCTGGGATCCAGCCTTGAAATAGAGGCTGTGACTTCCTGGGGCTTGAAAGATCACTCATCAGAGCTGAAGCACCTACCCCGAAACATTAGATACTATCTCAATAGTATAATGCAAATTACTTTTTCTGCATATCCTCTCTGCATATGACAGGTAAATGCAGGCTTCCTATCTAGCCCAGCTCACAGTACTAACCTACTTCCTGCCATTCTCAGTCATTCATCCCCAAGCCTCTCCTCCATGACTGAATAAAACCCAGGTTTGGCCCTGGGTTGATGTCTTTGTTCTGAATAGCCACCACCATGGCTGGACTTAGGACCCCTTGACTCCCCTAACTATAAATATACTTTAGTGTCTTTATTCTTGCCGTGGGTAGCACTGAAAGTAGTAGATTGGAATTAACTTGATAGGATTCCAGTAACTTATCTATGGGATTACAAATACAAACTTCCTGGACTGAGATGAGGACCAGGAAGGGCTACCTATAATGTTTCTTATGGTCATGATGATAGAATGTGTTTATTTTACTGTTTTGGAAATTCCTTGTAGAGAAAAAAGATTTCAGAAATAAATAGGCACTACAAAATATTAAGAAGAATGGTGCATGTCAGTAATCTCCAGCACTCTGGAAGCTGATGCAGGAGAATTGGCACCAGTTTGAGGTCAACCTGGGATACAAAGTGAGACCCTGTCTCAATAAAGTACAATAAAAAGAAAATTGACTATGGTTGCATTGTCCTGGGGGCTCAGCTACACGACAGGATGATGAAGGGAAAATTGGGAATGAAGGCGAAGGGATCATAAAAGAATAAAGAAGCGTTATGTACAAGTAGCACTCTCTGGAGCTGGAGAGATAACTCAGTAGAATAAGTGCTTGCCTGGGGGCTGGTGAGATGGCTCAGTGGTCTAAAGCACCTACTTAGAACAAGCTTAGCAAAG